ACCAACAACGTAACCATCATTGCAAAGCCCAGTTCTTCTCAAGAATGCCAAAATGTCATTATCTCTATTGAGTTGCTGAACATTTTCTCTGATAATTCTAGTTGTGTAATATTTCTTTTCTTTTTCTGCTCTTGATCGGTGATCGCATATTTCTGATCTGGCACAAAATCAGGTAATAGTGTAATACACCATAATTATAATATTTATAATTATTATTTATTACAATATAAATAGACCCTTATAATACCGCGAATAATATTATGATGTTATACTGTGGTAATACCRGGTATAGGTATTGTCGCTGGTTCCAAGGAACTTTTTCTCTCACATGCCACAGCTGATAACTACTATCACGACGTCCTTCAACTTACAACTGATCCAACGCTGAACGGCTGAACAGTGAACGGTCTGAGCCTCTGAGCTCTGAATGAAATTGCGATCTACATATTTTATTTTTTACTTTACAGTTTGCGCTCTTCTTTATTCATAACCGATCGACGGCAATAAATCTCTTCGTCAGAACCACGTAAAATAGGTAAGCATAGTCGTGCACCATAAGTACAGTYGTTTTTAATTTTGAACAGATTTCGTCCAAAAACTGACTAATCGGATAGGCGTCTTCGCACTGATTCCAACGATACATCATAGGTGTCGGCCAATAGACGTTCCAYGGGTTAAAGAGAGAGATTGGGATGTTGTAGCTACATCTTTTGACTACAGTTTCCCCAGTCATCACTCATCATTGTATTTCGTTTTGTACTCATGYCCACTYCAGACTTTGGTTGGGGGCCAATTTTACTATGATACKACTGTTACGTAGATTATCATATATCATAYCTGTTTTAGAGTKTAAAATATTAAATTTATGATTCAAGACTCTTCTCTTACTAACACATGTTGCCAGTTTCACAAGTTTGAAAAGTTCTCAGAAAATATTTGATTAAAATGTCACCTAATGATTTAGTGTTTAGAGATATTTACTCACATTGAATCAGGACATATAAAATTGACCTATCAACAGAATTATTTTAATTTAAACCTGTAATATTTATCAATTAAACTAYTTTCAACATTACGTGTTCAATAATATGTATTATTAATTTGATTGTCAGTTGTATACATATAATAAAAATAAAACGTATCAATATTATGATATTGGATTATTTTTCAGAAAATTACCATGTCAGTCGTAAAAGTATTGTATCAAACAGTTTTGAGAAGGCCGTCTCGCTTCTTTGTTGTGGTAGCAGTTGGGTCACTGTTCTTCGARAGAACACTTGATATTGGCATTGAAAGCTTATATGATCGAATGAACCGTGGTGTAAGTTAACATTATGCATTTTTTTTATTTATTAATTATTAGCTTTATTCAGTAATATAAAATACCTAGGTATTTATTTTTAACTTCCTATTTTAATGCCTAAGGTTTTGAGTGCTTTGTAGCATGCACTTTCAGATTAGTAATGAAGGTGTATATTAGAAAGTGTAGAACAAACCCTAGATCCTAGATTGAACAATTAAAAGATGAAATGAAGTTATTATTTGTGAAGTACAAAAGTTTTGATGTGGTTGAAGGGCATRTTATGACATTTAAAATTGATAAACCCAGTCTTAGCCTAGGGTATTAGTCTGTAATAAGTTGTTCAAGAGGATAAAATTAAGTTCAAGTATGACTGCATATTATTTTTTCTTATTAATTGAAAGCTAATACTATCAGTTTTAGAAACTAGTATTTTATTTTAACATTTAAAAGTTAGTAAGTTGGAAWAACTTAAATTTAGCCCATCCAATTATAAATAAAATTACAGAATGTAGAGGTAATTAGGTTTTGTCTCAAGTATTCATTCTTATTATTGTTAAATATATGTTAACAAACTAATTTAAAATAAAATAATTTAAAGAACAATAGGCATTAAATTAAAAAATGTATTATTTTAATTTGTTTATTTTTTACAGAAACAATGGAAAGACATTGCCGATAAATATGTTTGAACAGGATGACATAAACATTTATGGTTATAGTTATGTAGAACCAATATCTGTCACTTAAATATTGCTTTAAAAGTGTAAAATTAAATATAAATTCCTTAAAAATAGCATTAAGTGATGAATTAATAAAGTTTTGATTTTTTCTTATCTCAAGAATTCTGTATTGTTTTCCCAGTCATATCCTTTAAAAACTACAATCAAGAAACTTATTGTCACRTATTAAATGTCAAGCAGGGTGTGGTATCAAATTTTCTCAGGACAAGTATGGCATAATGTTAACTTTCATTTCCTAACATAGTAACATTGTTTGACATTAAATTCAGGGTGTWTTTAGAAATGTCCTATCAAACAAATAGAAAGTTCAAATTATATAAAGTTATAACTCATCTCATATTTTCCCTCACAAAAAGTTGTCATCAATCATGACCAAATAATTAGAATACAAGTATTAAACATAAATATTTTAAATCAGTCTTAACTGTGTGCAAACTTTATCAGCAGGTTATGCAATAAGAAAAATAGAGGTCCTCAAAAATAAAATCACGTAACCTAATTATTGGTATATATATTGCACCTAAGATACTCAACATAATTTTATTGAATTTAAAACTAAGAATAATTTATTCTAAAAATAGATTCTGAGCAGTTAAACATTTTCTTTTATCACATATAGGACTCAATCTACAAACTAAGTTTTTTCAAATATATTACTTAGTTTCTTTGCTTCCCTCAGAATCTAAAATCACACATAGTTTTGCAGTAGAATATTAAACATTGCATTGTTGAAATAAGTAGTTTGAAATTTGAATTATATTTATTAAAATAAAATGTATAATTTCTTAAAGATTAAGTACATACTATTTTGAATGTCTTTAATTAATTCTAACATATTTATAAAATTGTTACATTTATTGTTTGGATTATCTTGCTGGTCGTGAGAGAATTTAAAACTAAAAAACTTTTTTTTAATACTATACAACATTAATATTATAAAAAAATCTTGGTATGATAAACATGGGCCTTCACCTAACGTGAAGCTGCAAATTATGCAGTGGCATACCGATACCCTGCATACCCAGTGTGCACGCCTGTCAAATCAATGGTATTGGTGTCAAATATGAATAGTTTAATATCATGATAATGATAATATATTGATATGCCACCATGCGTGAAAAGTGAGAGGACCTATGGAGGTTAATACTCAATACAATAATGAAAAAAAAGAATTAAATATGGAGAATGGGAAGGGCACAAGCCCCATTGGTCTCCACTTAAATACACCTCTGATCAGATTATGGTTTTAGTCATAGGATAGGACAATAAACTATACAAGAGGAAACCTAAACTTTGACTAATTAGATTTCTAAATAAGTTAGGTTTAGATGTGTTTATTATTATTTGAAACAAAGTAATGCGATACAATCAAAAACTGGCCAATAATAAATGGAATTTTAAACATTTTTTAATATTAAAATTAAAATATTTTTATATTAAAGAAATCAACATTTGATATGTAGATAAGATGTTTGTAATGAATTAACTATAGAATAATTAATTTAATGTAATAACTGAATTTCAATGTAAATGTTAGRTTTTATGATAAAAAATTATGCTTCTTAAACAATTGATGAATAAACGTATTCAAACAAATAGGAAACAAATTAATTAATCTTTTCTACGACKTTTATCACGGTCTTGTTGTGGTTGAGACCTTTTAGATGCATGCTTGGCTTGGGTCAAGAACTGATCCAAACCAAATGGATCCTCTTCTTGTTGATGTTTTTCAAATTGAACTGGACCAGACCGACCACTAGCTTTAGGATCACGATCTGTTCCGCTAAATTCTTTATTCGGCACAAATCTAAATAAAAACAAAAATCATTGTTATTTAAATATTTAAATTTGAAATAGACATTACAAGTTAAATTATCTAAAGAAATTAGTTTATAAAAAGTGTAAGATTTAATAAAATGTTTATGAGAAAAAAGGTYGGGTTACATAAAAAAAGTAAATTATAGATTGTTTGATGTAAAATACTTTTCCAAAAAATATCTCCATACACTTTTTGTTACATGGTCTAAATTTTTGAATGATTTTCTTCCCAGAAAATTGGTTCAGAAGTGAAAAAATATTACAGACTGATTTTGCAACATTTGCCCCATAATGTTTGATAAAACTTGTTTCATGTTACCAAAAATGTATGTAGATGAATGACGTAAAAATAGTTAAAAACTTGTAGCAAGATAAAAACATTTTTTTGTAGTAATATTGGTGATTTGGTGAACCTGGTATAGGGAAGCTAACTATTAGAAAATACCACTTATGAAATGAAAAAAAAGCCCACAACATAGTTAGAGTTTAAGTTTATCAGAGATCAACAATAATTGTTCTAGGAAAATTCACAAAACTGTGCAATAGATTTAAATTATTCAGTTTAAGAGACTAATTAGAGCACTATTTAATAAATAATAACAAAATGCAAATTAAGCATTACAATCTTAAAATACTAAACTCACCTATTTGTCTTAGCAATTGTCTCTAAATCGTCACCATACACTTCCTTATCAATATTAGCAGATGGACGATAAATATGTTGAGCCAAAGAGCTGTTTCCACGCCAAGGTTTATCATATACATTATATTCTTCGTCATCGCCAAATCCGGTATCCATACCAGCTGTTGTATTAAGCAAACGTTGATCGTACTGAGTATCTCCAGTTTTTCTAGTGATTGCTGGGAGACCAAGAGCAATTTGTTCACTAATGTCTCGATCTCGCAATACTTTGTTTTTACGGCTGTCAGCATTTCTAGCAAGGTTACGATCACGAGCTCTGTCTTTTTGACGTTCTAGACGTAATTGATCACGTTCGCGAGATTCATCATTCTTAGMGGATCCAGGAAGACGAATACCTGCTCTTTCTTCTCTGGCTTTTTGAGCCATTGCTCTAAGATGTTCCTCTTTCTTTTCTTTTTCTTTTTGTGCCATTTTCTTTTCCAACTGTGCTCTCATTTCAACAGCTTCTCTGGCTTTACGATCTGCTATGTATAAAGACTCGGCCAACTTGGCAAATTTTTCATTTATATGATTTTGTTGTAAACCTCGACCATCAGCAGCTAATCTCTTATCTAATGGAATTGTATAACCTTTAGCATTTTTCCAATTGGATATACAAGGAGGAATTTTCCATTCTTTCTGTTCCTTAACAGATGTTTTCCTGGTAGGTGAATGCATTAAAGGTGCAGGAGGCGATGGAGGACCTCGGGGAATTTTTTTGTTAATTTTGAACTTGGGAGGTTCCATAGGATCTTTCTGAGCCTCCACTAATCTTACTACACGTTGTTTCGATCCAGAATTATATTCTTTTCCTTGTTCAGTAGGGGTATAACGGAACCATTGTACAGGAGCCTAAACATAAACATTGTATGAACAAAAATATTCATAAACATTAAGAGGACACTAAGATTAACTGTGTTTTGTTGGACGTTTTTTAAAATAATTATGTTTTTAAGTGAGTTATGCATATTATATAAAGAATTATAGAGTCAAAATGCTAATCACTCACTTAAAAAATGAATTATTGTTAAAAAAAAACTTCCAACAAAACACAGATAATGTTCTTACCAGCAAGTTTCATAATGATAATACCTATATTCATGCTAATTTTTAAGTTAACAGAATAAAACTTGAACTACTGAACGTAAATTTGCTATGTTACGCGTTTGTAAGACTGAGACAACAAATGCGGGTATGCCATCCTTTTAAGAAAATTATAACTTACAGGTTTATCTGCCGCTCGTACTGGTAATGCAGCGGAAACTTTAGAATTAGTCAACTTTTCCAGAGCTGCTCTTGTTTTTTCAGTGATCTCTGCAACTTCTTCTGCATCAGGCTTTTGCAAAGAAGGATCATCTTCATTGACCACCTCAGATGGAAGCATATCAGATAGTTTTGAATAAATCACTTTATCTTTTCTCTGACCTTGGCGAGCAATCACATCATATTTAACTTTACCATCAGAAGTTAACTGCAATGCAAGAGCATTTGAAACAGATTCTTTATTTTCTTTTCCCATATTCAATGGATATTGCGCAACTTGGATTTCCGGAAAAGCACCACCATCTCCAAAATCCTAAATAAAAAAGTAGTTATTTAAACCAAAGTGTACATTTATTATATTCTAAAAAATCATCTGAATTAGAAGAAAAATAATCTAACRCTCTAACTACTATAAATTCATTAAAATATCATGTAGTAAAAGGAAGATTTTAAAAACTATCTATAATTAGTTAGTTGAGCGTTAATTATTCTTTACATATAATATACAAATTGATAAAACACAATACATAACAATATTTTAAGATTTACTTCAACAGTCCTTGGTACCCATCCATTTCTGTTACCGTATGGTGGGATTTTAACAGCGTACACTTCATAGGTATTGGTTTTTTCAGCAAGTATTTCGTTGGTTTCTTCATCTTCTTCCAAGTCCTGAAGAAATTGTGTGGGTGCTGGTAATACACTGAAGAATTATAAATTATAAATGTCCATTACTATTAAGCTAAGACAACAAATTTTTTATAATTGCAATATTTAGTATTTAGTTATTTAACATAAAACATAAAACATAATATTTACTATTTTCAAATTGTTAGAATTTAAAAACTAAGTTTGAATGACAAATTCTGATCATACCATCATTCTCGACATATAAAAGTACATTTATTTTAGAAAAACAATTTGGAAAACTGAGTGGGCACTAAACTATATAGATTTATATCTTAATTTGAAATAAAATAAAAGAATTGATAACCAACACAATTTATTTTCTACGATATTTTCTTTATGAAATTAGAATCACATAGCTGAATTGTTTTGGATGTATTTGGATATGTTCCAAACGATTTTGAGTTTAATAACTAATAAGTGAGTGAACCTTATATCTARGTCTCATATAAGCCATAAGCGGAGTCTATAATAAACAAAATGAATAAAAAACAAAAGGTTTTTGAGCGAAAAACCCATAAGTTTTGCTTACCTAAATAGAGACATTGCTGAATGTTGTATGTCTCATAAAGAAAAGAACCCAAGTCAACACGTCCAACGTGAGTTCTCGAACTTAACACTTCACAGGTCTATTAGAGCCTATAGGTTAGATTTGAGCAATTACAAATTATAACTGTGCGAAGACAATAAAACGATATGTGACTTGCCCAAAACCCCACATCCACAAGTTTCAACTTTAACTTTTATTATTTTTAAGTTAATTATTATCTATAAACAACAATTTGTTTTTCATAGATAATGATAAAAAAAATAGAAGAGCCAAATCATTGATAAAGATATCCTCGTAAGGTTATAACATAAAACAGTTATAACCAATCGTGGTAATGATCATGGCCGATTCGTATAATGAGATGCCTATAGTATGCCCCTTTTTWAAAATTATAACCACTATAGATATCCGGTTTAGWGGGGTTGTAAATGACCTAGCGAGTGAAGATTTATGGATACATCGTACATCTAACCCTTCCTGAATTTGTAGTAAATAATAACTTCGTTTATACTTTATAATTTAATATTTATAATAATATGAACGCTCAATTTTTTTAATTTAATATATTTATAAATTTTGTTTAAAAATATAGAAAAATAAACGAAAAAAATTTAAAATTTAAAATTGTCTATAAATAACTAAAATATTTTGAAAATTATTGTATCAAGCATAGAAAATGACAGTATCAATATTCAATGAAAATTTCATATATCTATGGTAATTAGTTAGAGTTACACCAATATCTAAAATCGATTTTGCGATTCCTGTTTTCCTTATTTTTTTTTGTTCTTCCTGATGCTTTTGAAAACTAATGTGAATTTCAAAAAAATGACCTCCCCAATAGACCTACTAGATTCGCTTTTTAACCGAAAGTTATTGAAATTGAAAATCGAAGTAGTATTTTGACTACTTATTGTGTACACAAATAAAAAAAAAAACACACAACATTCAGGATATCTAATAATACCTGAAACTAAATTTTTTTTCTTCATATTTTACATTTATACTCTTATTCATGTGTTAGAGCATTTGTTATATTTTTATTTTAAGTGCATATTTTTAAATCATGTTTTAATTTTTTTTTAATTGGTACAAAAATAAATAAATAGAGGCAGTATAAAAGAATATTTAAAAATGTTACTATTTACTTAATATAGAATATAAAATTTTGTCAGTGATGTAACTCAAATAATTACTAGATTCACTGTACAATCCGAARAGCTACTGAAGTTGAAAATCGAAGAATTATTCTGAGAACTTATTATGTACACAACACAACATGAAGTCAACACTTCGCTCAGYATCTAAAATGTAAATACTTCTTTAATTTAACAAATTCAAGTTGAAGTATCTTCCTCTAGGCTATACAGATTTTATTTGATAAACAAACTTGTATTTTTATTTATTTTTAAGAAGAAAAAAGTAGATTAAACAATTTTTTTTTACTGCATTGAAACCATTATTAAAGATCTTTAGTTATTATTGAAATATTTTAATTTAATTAACTATATTAGTTAAAATAAAATAAAAATTGTTGTAAGCTGTATGAGMAAAAAATGTTTAATTTACAAGTGTATTATGATTTATGACTCATGTGAATATCTGAATTGAGTGACTAAATGTAGAAATATATTATCAATGCTTCTCTAATTATGTAAATATTAATGAAACACGTAATTAACAAACAATGGCTCGAGAAAGCATGACAATATTTTCTTTACAATACTTACATATAATATTGGCCAAATAATATGTACCTGATTGAGCAAATGTTGCTATGTCCTCTTAAATCAAGATTCATTCATACAGTTTGTAAGCATCAAGTGGCTTGATTCCGTTAGATTTTAGTTTTAAAACTTTTTTAAAAACCAAAAACTTAACATTAGTGATATTCCTTCCGTACATAAAAATAGTATTTCTAAAGGAATTCTATTATTCATTTTTTTCTATTTGCATAGCCAAATTCTTAAACAYGAACAATATTGTAAATGGTTATGYGTTTAAAGAACATTTAAAATTTGGTGAATGTGCTGACTTAAAACATGATAAAACAATTCTGATTATATAGTTTTTATAAAATATTTTACAGATTTAATTGATAAGCAAGTTATTTAGCGTGAAATAAATACAATTGCACGCACGTTTCAATGAGCTRTTGACTGTTAAAAAATATAATCTGCTGAAACAACATTACTACATAGTGTTCGTGATAAATGATACAACTAGGCATGAGAAATGTTCATTATCAAATATGTAATACAAGGTTGTTTTAATAAAAGTGACCGACTAGAAAGTAATTATTATTTTATTTACACTTAGAGCACCAAACGAATTAAAATAAAAAATTAATCAACAATTTTAATTGTATATCTTACATAAAGTTTAAATTTATAACAATAGGATAATAATAAATAATATTATGAATATGGAAGACTGAAAATAACAATACAAATTCTTTTTTGTCAATATATAATATTAAGGACCAGTTCAATATAAATTTCATATATTAGTTCAGAATTATACTCTTATTATTAACCTGTTTTCCTTAAGGTAACTTTTGTTAAATGGTTATTGCAAATTTTCAAAACACATCAGTTTCTCGAAGTTTTTTTGTTTCTTTTGTTTTTCGTCTTAGTGAGGATTGTTGCATATGGTAATATTTGAATGTATCTTCTGGTATTTCTAACAGTATGAGCTATAATACCAGAAAAAAAATGAAATTATACATACATTTATCAATAAAAATTATAAAATAAAAGAGTAAAAATACCTTTTTAATAATTCTCTCTTCCTCAAGCATATGCAATGGTGGATTTCGCAACGCTTCTAAGGTTTCACACATRGTAGGAAAACGTTTTTTGAGATCAGAATAAGATTTTTCTGGCAATGATATTTTGATCATTATTAAACCCATTTTGAAAAATGTTTTAACACCTACAATTAATAAAGGAAATAAATTGAATTCATAGAAGATTTTAAAATTATTTACCATCAAATAAAAATATATCCCAAAACCTTAACAAGGTGGGCCATGGCAATGTTCTTGTGAAAGCACATAAAAACCATTCAGTCATATACATAATTGGATCAATACTTTGCTTTTTCTAAAAAAWTTATAAATAATATTACAATAAACACAATTATAAACTATACATTATTATGATGTAAGATCATACACTTACCAAAAGTTTATATATTTTTGGCTCACGTTCTTTTAATAATGCAAAAAGTATATTACCATCTCTAATTAGTGTTTCCTAAATAAGAAATAGATATAATGAATTAAGTGACTTCTTTTAAAATGTTTAATTACCATTCCTGGACTGTAGTAATCACTAAGGTAGTCATCACAAATCGCTACAAAACACCAAAACGCTTGCTCGGCTGGCATATGCATGAGAAGAAATGCAGCAATTGGAGCTTGTGCTTGACAATACCCAATTACAGGGTTTAATATTGTATATGCTTTAAGAACATTGAATAACTCTTTTTGGCTGTTGAAAAAATACTGAACTTTTGTTAGACAATATTTAAATTTTAAAAATATTTATTACAATTTACCCTGTTCCATCTTGGTCGACAAACATCTCATGATATGGGAATTGTCGATGTAGATCTTTTCTTATATCTTCGATCCATTTACGGTCACCTGGCTGGTCACATAGCTTAAAATAGAGATTTTTCTTTTGGTCCAACAATTTGTTTGCTTTAGTCAAGTACAACCAAGCTCTAGGTCTGATTGATTGTGGAATTCCTTTTCTACATCTGTTTTGCACCTAAAATACAGTCATTTTAAGATACAATGTTTAAAATATTATGTTATAAAGGTACRTAAGTACYAATTTCATTTTAAATATTATTACTTTTTTAAAATTCCTAATCATTTGTTTATCCCAATTGGCAGTCATATTAAGCCATTTTCGTTCACGTTCTATGGTTTTGTTAGCTGATATCATGTGTTTCCTACAATCAAACATTTTGTTAAAATAATTTCACAAAGCAATGGGAAAATATTATGTAGGCATGTATTCAAGATTTCTTTAGAAAGTATAGAAAATGTTCTCACACATTGAACAGAGAGGGGTTAAAAGTAAGAAAAATAAATATCCTTTATACATGTATAAGCGTAACTAGTGACTGTTATGTTGTTTTCATGCAATACCCTTAAATGCATAATAATTATGAATCAAACAGGAAGTATGCAATGTACACACTGTAGCATACCAAATAGCTAGTATGGCCAAAAAAGGTTTTAACCTCCCGTATTCACTAATATTTGAACCATTCACCATTGTCAATATACAAAATTGCAAGTGTACAGTTATAATATTAAGCCTGATTTGACTGTAAACTAAAATTTTCAGATTAGGATTGACAAAATGTTTTAAGGAATATTTGAAATCTTATACATTTTACATAATCTAGACATTACTAAAGTTTATATGATTACATTTATTAATCATTTTTTATATTATTGCATTCAGTSAGTTATTTTTGTGAAACTTTCACAATGGTAAAGAAAGTATAGATGTTCTATTTAGAGGTTTATCAGTGTAACATTGATTTCACAATAATAGTTAAGGTGTGGTCAATACAATTTTATAACACATCACACATTTTATTTTAATTCATTTTACTTAAATAATAATGACCACGACAATTATAATATTAATATTTATTACATAATAGATATAATTCTAAAAGTGATCTACTAATCTATAAAACAATTTGACCTTACAATGATGTTTATATTCAATTTAAAAGAAATTATAGTTAATACCTAATATAGATTTTAGAAAAATAAACAATAATTATCTTTATTATATTAATGTATATTTGAATTAATAATTAATATTATCCATGTATAGCAAAAAAATATTTAATTATTTAACCAATTTGTTAATCAAAATATATCACTATTATTAGAAAATTATGTGCTAAACATAAAAAATAAAAATGACATGAAAATCAAGCTGAAATTCTTCATTACGGTCTACAACCGCAATGGATCATAAACTACAAAAACCATAAGCCTTCTACATGAGGCTAGTTCATGGCTCAAGATAAATTTGTAAAATGTTAATATCGAAAGACAATACAGTCCTGTAATACTTATAAACAGTGAAGTACTTACGACTCATTAAGGTATTGGGCGCCACCAAGGAAGCCGTGTCTGTCAGGCACCGTCGATATAACAGAGCCGTTTGGAGCCAGCGATGAACTWGCATCCGAATAGTTGTCTTCGTCGTTATCGACGCAATGGGTTTCCATTTTGTTTGCAACAAACGGACTCGCCGCTTTCATGTTGTTAAAGTATTGTTCTGCGTAATGACAGAGTTCGAACGATCTGTGCTAAGGTACAACTCACTATTATTATTATCGGGCGATAGGTACGATACAGGACCCACCTATGTGTAGTGATCTTCGGACACTATAACTACCTACACCACAAAACCGTGGAAAACAGTTTACCACAGTACCATAGTTATGTCAATATTATAAAGTATTTTGACGATTTCGGATATCTGTCAACGGAATAGGTATTAATAATAGCAATAATCACGCACTGCACCCGCACGGCATGTCGTCGTCGGACGCAACGTTCGTCTCGCGAGGGTCGGTGGTCGCGGGCTGTGAGCGTTCAGCTTTCTGTTTTCAGTCCATCAAGCACGCCACGCAACGGAAGATAAACAACAAACGATTACGGCGACGAGATAACCAGTGATTGACGTATGGCGGCGGCGGCACCGATATCTCTATATTCTATGACTGCAGACTGCGAAGCGCGAACGAGCGATTCCGAGTTTTCTTATTTTTCTCGGTATTTTTTTTTTGCCGATAGAAGCCGTCGCGATGGTGGCATTTGTCGACGCCGTTAAAATACGATGATGATAATAATATCAATAATAAAAATAACATTAAAATCGGCCGCAMGCCAAGGCCGATGGAAAAAGTGCGAGAGTTGGGCACGGGCGCACGGCAAACGAACGACAGAACGACACGGCCGATACGACACGACTAACGACTGGAGTGGTGGAAGTGGAGTGGATTGTGGATAACTGGTGTGTCGCGTAGTGCTTACTTCGGTACTCGTGTATGGTACGAGCCCGACGAGGATGATCGAGCGGACTGCGGAGTGGAACAGCTGTTGAGAAACGGTGTCGGCCACAGGCGATTCTGCCGCATAGGAGCGAGCCCGCGTGGATAATTATTAAACAATATGCTATTTATAAGAGAAAAACGTGTCATTTGCGGTTTTGCGGTTTCGCGGATTTATTACATTAATTTCATTGTTGTCGCTGTGCGAAGTCCAGCGGACTCACTGAGCTACGCATATTAATAGTTTGTAATTATAATAATTACAACTAATATAAAATATTATAATAAAAATATTTATTGATAACTGGATGTCAGGCTGACATGCACAATAATACTTACTGTTTTTAACGATTCTTTCTGTCGTTTTTAAGCACACAATGTTGATAAAATGCATTAGTGTAAACTCAGAACGTGTAAATAGTCAGTTTTTTTTGTTATCTCACAGTAAAACAATCTGTTAAAAAAATTATTGAAGATAACATGTAGACATGTAGGTCTTATATTTAATATTTTATTGTACCTTATATTCGACTTAAAAAGTATAATTAATCAATATAATATAATTAATTAACATTATTATTATAATATTATAATGTTATCATACCAGTATATATGTATAACAATTGAACAATGGAATTACAAATTACAATGATCAGTCATGATTTTAAATCCCTACGACATATTGTTATTATGGYCATCGCCTGGCACGTGGCGAATTCAATGCAGCCCACAGCGATTGGCCAAAAATATCCACACWGACGCTTTTTAAAAATAACATCGCCCATGCTATTTTCATCACTCTTCTTTTCAGTTTTTTTTTTATGGTTATMGCTGTAACGTTTACGACGTCGTCTCGTGACGAATCCTTTCGACCATGATTGCGTAATGGGTAACTTATGATGTTGTTACGGTACCTGAGTTATTTTAGATTAATTATTAATTACAACGTATTAAAATATAAATAATTTATTGAGTTTGATCATAGCTATTAATAGTCAAAATGTTTGAGGGGACTGAACATCCCCCCTTCTCATCCAATAATATTAATTCAAAATCAATAATTTTAATTTTTAATTGGGTCTATCTTATGCAAATTATATATTATGTTTAATACTAATTAGGAATTACTACATCTGAACGGTGAGGACTTGGAGCGGAAATTGTATTTATTTATTTATTTTTTTTTTTGGAGGGGGGGAGGCTATAACTTCGTTAAGATCGTGTCTGTTACTTATTATAAATATTGTAGTAAGTTGGCCGGGGGTTGGGTGAGACGTTGAGAACACTTGYGACTTGCAAGAGACTGAGAGAGTACTATGTTCCACAAGTACATTGAAATTGTTAGAATTCCGCTTAGAGACACTTGAGTGGAGGTTGAAGCAGTGACATATTTATAGTGATAGCTTTAGGCCCTTAGTGCGATATAGTCACCCTAGAGCCTTTTTATTTGTATGTCTTAATAGTTTATTTAATAGAGATAGAAATGTAGTTTTTTTTTAAATAAAATATTAACAAAAATTATTRTTATACTTTTACCATAATGAATTAGAGTGATCATATTATAGGTTATAATTAATAATAATGAGTTATGTCAAACATCAATATAACATTATCTATTATAGTGAGTGTACTTAAAATTAGGGTYAAAACCTTAACATATATACTTATGTAGTTATTAATTTATTACCTACTTATTACATTTTAAAACC